GTCGAGCTTCGAAGCACCACCAAACAACCCATAAATAGTCTGCAAGCATAGCTCCACCAATGTACTATTGGTGATCATTACTCACGTTATGACATAAAAATTCAAAAATCATTTAAATTTGTAAAATCTTGATTTTATACGATTTTACTGTTTTAGGTTTATGGAATCTAGATTTTAACTCCAATTTTACACAAATTGCATATCTAAAATCATAAAATTACACAATTTTACAAGTTAAAACGTGATTTTGACAACCATGGTGGCAAGATAACAAGTCAAGTGGCAATTCTGTTAATGAAAAGATTATTTTAGTATTAAAAATTATAATTTAAGAATAATTTTGGTATTTTTTAAAATTAAAGAACAATTTTGGTGTAAATCTAATAGTTGAGGAACCAAATTGGTATTTTAACCAAAAAATTAATTAAAATTAATAAATTTGCATTTAGATAAGGAAAATATCTAGTTTAATTACTAAAATATAATACAAATATAGTCTGATTCAATCGATTTCTATATCTTATCTGTGTAATTATATTTTTAAATTTGTTTGCCTTTAATTTCATATTATAATACAAAATTTTTTAATAAATGCGTTATGCAATGTATTGAATTAGAATGTATAGTAATCATTTTCTTTTAGACAAAGCACCATGTGAAAAATATATGTGAGAAGCATGGTCAAATAAAATCTTAATTTAGTTGTTAATAATAACTAATAAATAATATTCTATATAATGACTAACCATTATTATTATTTATAATTTAAATACCCTTATTCACCCAATTAAAGAAAAGTAGGTGTTAATTATTTCTTAAAAACTATCCATCAAAAAATTTTTTTCTTAATAACTCTCACAGTCTCACCCCTAGAAGGCTCTTCCTTCTCCATAAATAGCATTTCATTGCCATCCAAAACAATTCTTAATCAATCTTTTGTTGATTTCAGAAAAGCATTCCAATTTGCCAACGATGTCTCTGATGATTCCAAGCATCTTTGGTGGTCAACGAACCAATGTCTTCAACCCATTTTCTCTAGACGCTTGGGATCCATTTGATGGCTTCTTCACCTCTACCGTTGCCAATGTGCCCTCTTCAGTCCGTGAAACCTCTGCATTTCCCAATGCGGGAATTGACTGGAAGGAAACGCCTGAAGCTCACATCTTCAAGGCAGACCTTCCAGGGCTGAAAAAGGAGGAGGTAAAATTGGAGGTTGAAGAAGGAAGGATTCTCCAGATCAGTGAAGGGACGAGCAAAGAACAGGAGGAGAAGAGTGAGAAGTGGCACTGTGTTGAGAGAAGCAGCGGCAAGTTCTTGAGAAGGTTTAGGTTGCCGGAGAATGCCAAAATGGATCAGGTAAAGGCTAGCATGGAGAATGGTGTGCTCACCGTGACTGTCCCCAAGGTGGAGGTTAAGAAGCCAGAGGTTAAGTCCATTGAAATCTCCAGCTAACTGCAATGGTCGTGTTGTTTGTCTGGTTTCATATCAACAAAGTTTGTGTCTTTGTGTGTCATTGAGGCAGATGCTTCCTCAAAGTATGTTGTGTCTTGTTTTTTTTATGACTAAGAAAATGTGTGTCTGTGTGTGGATTTGAATAAAAATTATATTTGCATTACAGTATGTTCTAGTTTCTGTTTAAAACATTCTTTCTTAAAATTTTCTTTCTTTGGTCATATCAGAAACTATAAAATCTGTTGAAATATATAGCAACTATCCCAAAATTCAAAATCTTTCAATCTCAAATGCAAGAAATATTGCTTCTCTAATGTTAATGCATCAATACATATGCTTTAGCGACAAGAGTTTAACCAAATTAATATTCACTAACTTAAAATCCTTAATTTAGAGTTAAGGTGAGATTTAAATTTTTATATTATCAAACAATTAAATTTTCTATGTAAAAAAAAAAAAATTAATGCACTTGCTTCAAATCATTTATGCGTAGAAAAGACTGAAGCTTTGGGCTATGAACATTGCAACATATAGTGCATTAGAGTTCATCTTATATATTTCATTTTTGATGCAAGGCAGGAAAAAACAAAACATTACTTTAAGGCAGGAAATAAAACCACAGTTGAGGGCATCTTAATATTTCGTTACATTACATATATAGCACACAGGCTGATTAAAAGAAAAAAAAACAACAACCATATATAAAGCACACAGACAGTTCAAAATTAACAAAAAGAAAACAAACCATTTGATGCCCCAGACTAATTAAATTACCTTAATCACCACAGGAAGCAATTTTGTCCGTTATTTGAGCCACAACCTCCTTGGACTCCCTCAACAAACCAATACTCCTCTTCAGCCTCTCTCTTTTCCCAGCAATACCGGGCGACTCCTCCAGAATCCTCTCAATAGATTTTCCACCATCCGCACCCAGCAGCTCCATGAAAATTTCCTTCTCCATCTCCTTAGTCACCAGATTGTGCACATTAAATTTCAAAAGGAGAGCCATGGTGTCCATCAACCTCCTCAGAACTATCTTCCAATATGCTTTCATCCTCGTCTTCAAGTCAAAAGCTTGCTGAAGAATAGTATCCGATTTCCCCCTTAGATGCTCGATCTGAATTGTCCCCCAACCTTCAATGGTTGTCGAATTATAACCATAACAACTTTTAAGATCTTCCATGAACTTCTGCTGTTGGGACAAGAGGTTGCCCCATTCAGACATGTAATCAGGGTTACATGTATAATCTGTCAGCTTTTCCATTTGCACAATCTCCGAAACCCGATTTATTGACTGTTCTTTCATTTTAGATATCAAGCTTTTAGCTGCTCTTGTTGTTGCAAGCTTAAGTTGTGGATAGTCTTCCGAATGACGCTTTAAAATAGCAATCACAACGCTTTCGATGTAGTCCCATGTCTGTTCAACGCAGTCAGTAGGCATGCTTGAAATCCTATCGACTTTCCTCTGAAGAATGCAGAGGAAAGCTGAGTGAGAGAGGAAATTGGGCAATTCAATCCCTTTGGCTTCCTCAAGAACCTTAATTTCTTCCATCAAAAAGTCACCGGTTTGTTCATTTTCAACGCTCTTGTGAAGCTCGTTGTAGAAGTTGTTGAGCATTTCGACAAATCGGGCACTTCCATGCATTTCCTTGTCATCTGGGTATTCATCAAATTCCCCTCTCGACAGAATTTTCCTCAGAGATTCTTTCGCCGAGCCGATGATCTGCATGAAAGTAGTCATGGCTTCCGCGTGGGAGGACAGAATCTTCGGCATCTTCTCCAGCTCCATCACGTTTGCACTCAGCTTTTCATTGATGTTCATCACAATCTTGGGTAGGCATCTTGCAATGATATTTGCCTGAACTTGAACCAGCTTTTCTGCCAAAACCGGAATTCCGACGATGGATTTGTCCATCTTCGAAAGCAGAGCGTGGTTTTCGAACAAATTTTCTTCTTCCCTCCTTGCTTCTTCAAAAGATTCATCACCGACCCTGTTTCTCACACAGACATAACCAAGCCCAATATTGACATCATTGGAACTGACCTTCTCGCGTAGCCCTTCCGGTGACTTATCTGCCTTTGTCACGACGGCCAGAGTCCTTTGGCCACTCCTGTCCACCTGCTGCGACATCCTTATGGATTCACAGGTAGAAAAATCAACGGTTGCTGAGAGAACATTCAGGATTATGCTCTCTTCCGGCTTTATATACTCCATAATCATCTCAGCTACCTGCTCGTAAATGTTCTCCGGCTGACCGTGAACAGGGACTCGGGTGATTCCGGGAAGATCCACCATCGTAAGATCCGGAACACCGTTTTTCTTCACCACCAAAGTCAGGGGAGTGTTGGAAATACCCTTACCGCTGCCGGCAATCTCGTCGGTGGCAAGACTAATGGCGTCAGCAATGTGGTCTTCTTCCACGGGAACCGTTTTTCCACTGTACTCCAAGAAAAGCTCTGGTTCAGTAGTGTCTTGATTCTGGAGCCGCATAATCAGGGGAACTCTGGTGCAGATTCCCTGGCCACGAGGAAGGTGGATGCCGGCAAGTGATTCGAGAACGCTGGACTTTCCGGAGGACTGGTCACCAACAACGACAATGGTGGGCAGCTGTATGCCTTCTTTCATGACCTGGAGCAGCCTGAGCCTGTCAATAGTGTCGAGCAAAGGTCGTATATGGTAATTATAGGATGAAAAAATGGGTGCCACAACTCCCTCTTCAAAGTCAATCGGAACTGCCGCAATCGGCAGAACGGTTTCAGGGCTCCTTGAACTTGAAGAAGCTTGCCGATGATCACCACCCATACTTCCGATTTTGAGAGAAAAAGAAGAAGATTCAATAATCAATAGAGAAGCAAGAGCAAGGGGTAGAAGAGAAGGATTGGATGTTTGCTTGAGAGACGAATGGGAGCCATATTTATGCTCGGAGGTCGGAGCAGTGAGAACAGAGCAGACGACCCAAAAGTTGTAAAAAGTCAAGAAGGAAAAGACTCGGACACCTACTAAATCCTAGAATTCTATATCAGGTTCTGAAAAGAAGAGAAAGTGGATTGTAAACTCAGCAATGATTAGGCCACACGTAAGCACATTAGTGCCGCATAAATTTTTATACCTCATGTTTGTAAAATAATAAAATTATTGATATTTATTTTTTATTTTAAAATACAAATTATTTAATTTTTTATATGTAAATTTAAATGATACATTTTTATATTATTTAAACAATAATTGAGATTTTTTATACATAATTTTAATAGTTTTATTTGATAAAAAATTTTAATTATTATTTATATATTATGTATAAAAAATATTTTCTAAAAATATGAATACAAATCAAATAATTTATATTTTAAAACAAAATATTACTTAACAAATTAAAATTAATCCACAAATTAATGTTTAAAATATCATAATTAACTATTTATAAAAATATAATACCATGTGGTATTTATGTGGTCCTGCATACCTCATAATTGCATTTCATAAACCCCCAAACTAGTAGCATATATAATGAAGTACGATGAAAATTTTTATTAAATATCACAATTTTAATGTTATTTTTTTTACAAATTAATATTTATATATATCATTTAAATAAAATTCTTAACAAAATATGTTTTTTCTAATGTATAAAATTTTTTTAAAAATCACATTAATATTATTTTTTAAATTTAAATAAAAAA